TCGTGCCCTCTCCTTGCCTCACATCCCCGCCTCGTGCCCTCTCCTTGCCTCACATCCCCGCCTCGTGCCCTCTCCTTGCCTCACATCCCCGCCTCGTGCCCTCTCCTTGCCTCACATCCCCGCCTCGTGCCCTCTCCTTGCCTCACATCCCCGCCTCGTGCCCTCTCCTGCCTCACATCCCCGCCTCGTGCCCTCTCCTTGCCTCACATCCCCGCCTCGTGCCCTCTCCTTGCCTCACATCCCCGCCTCGTGCCCTCTCCTTGCCTCACATCCCCGCCTCGTGCCCTCTCCTTGCCTCACATCCCCGCCTCGTGCCCTCTCCTTGCCTCACATCCCCGCCTCGTGCCCTCTCCTTGCCTCACATCCCCGCCTCGTGCCCTCTCCTTGCCTCCCATCCCCGCCTCGTGCCCTCTCCTTGCCTCACATCCCCGCCTCGTGCCCTCTCCTTGCCTCACATCCCCGTCTCGTGCCCTCTCCTTGCCTCACATCCCCGCCTCGTGCCCTCTCCTTGCCTCACATCCCCGCCTCGTGCCCTCTCCTTGCCTCACATCCCCGCCTCGTGCCCTCTCCTTGCCTCACATCCCCGCCTCGTGCCCTCTCCTTGCCTCACATCCCCGCCTCGTGCCCTCTCCTTGCCTCACATCCCCGCCTCGTGCCCTCTCCTTGCCTCACATCCCCGCCTCGTGCCCTCTCCTTGCCTCACATCCCCGCCTCGTGCCCTCTCCTTGCCTCACATCCCCGCCTCGTGCCCTCTCCTTGCCTCACATCCCCGCCTCGTGCCCTCTCCTTGCCTCACATCCCCGCCTCGTGCCCTCTCCTTGCCTCACATCCCCGCCTCGTGCCCTCTCCTTGCCTCACATCCCCGCCTCGTGCCCTCTCCTTGCCTCACATCCCCGCCTCGTGCCCTCTCCTTGCCTCACATCCCCGCCTCGTGCCCTCTCCTTGCCTCACATCCCCGCCTCGTGCCCTCTCCTTGCCTCACATCCCCGCCTCGTGCCCTCTCCTTGCCTCACATCCCCGCCTCGTGCCCTCTCCTTGCCTCACATCCCCGCCTCGTGCCCTCTCCTTGCCTCACATCCCCGCCTCGTGCCCTCTCCTTGCCTCACATCCCCGCCTCGTGCCCTCTCCTTGCCTCACATCCCCGCCTCGTGCCCTCTCCTTGCCTCACATCCCCGCCTCGTGCCCTCTCCTTGCCTCACATCCCCGTCTCGTGCCCTCTCCTTGCCTCACATCCCCGCCTCGTGCCCTCTCCTTGCCTCACATCCCCGCCTCGTGCCCTCTCCTTGCCTCACATCCCCGCCTCGTGCCCTCTCCTTGCCTCACATCCCCGCCTCGTGCCCTCTCCTTGCCTCACATCCCCGCCTCGTGCCCTCTCCTTGCCTCACATCCCCGCCTCGTGCCCTCTCCTTGCCTCACATCCCCGTCTCGTGCCCTCTCCTTGCCTCACATCCCCGCCTCGTGCCCTCTCCTTGCCTCACATCCCCGCCTCGTGCCCTCTCCTTGCCTCACATCCCCGCCTCGTGCCCTCTCCTTGCCTCACATCCCCGCCTCGTGCCCTCTCCTTGCCTCACATCCCCGCCTCGTGCCCTCTCCTTGCCTCACATCCCCGCCTCGTGCCCTCTCCTTGCCTCACATCCCCGCCTCGTGCCCTCTCCTTGCCTCACATCCCCGCCTCGTGCCCTCTCCTTGCCTCACATCCCCGCCTCGTGCCCTCTCCTTGCCTCACATCCCCGCCTCGTGCCCTCTCCTTGCCTCACATCCCCGCCTCGTGCCCTCTCCTTGCCTCACATCCCCGCCTCGTGCCCTCTCCTTGCCTCACATCCCCGCCTCGTGCCCTCTCCTTGCCTCACATCCCCGCCTCGTGCCCTCTCCTTGCCTCACATCCCCGCCTCGTGCCCTCTCCTTGCCTCACATCCCCGCCTCGTGCCCTCTCCTTGCCTCACATCCCCGCCTCGTGCCCTCTCCTTGCCTCACATCCCCGCCTCGTGCCCTCTCCTTGCCTCACATCCCCGCCTCGTGCCCTCTCCTTGCCTCACATCCCCGCCTCGTGCCCTCTCATTGCCTCACATCCCCGCCTCGTGCCCTCTCCTTGCCTCACATCCCCGCCTCGTGCCCTCTCCTTGCCTCACATCCCCGCCTCGTGCCCTCTCCTTGCCTCACATCCCCGTCTCGTGCCCTCTCCTTGCCTCACATCCCCGCCTCGTGCCCTCTCCTTGCCTCACATCCCCGCCTCGTGCCCTCTCCTTGCCTCGCATCCCCGCCTCGTGCCCTCTCCTTGCCTCACATCCCCGCCTCGTGCCCTCTCCTTGCCTCACATCCCCGCCTCGTGCCCTCTCCTTGCCTCACATCCCCGCCTCGTGCCCTCTCCTTGCCTCACATCCCCGCCTCGTGCCCTCTCCTTGCCTCACATCCCCGCCTTGTGCCCTCTCCTTGCCTCACATCCCCGTCTCGTGCCCTCTCCTTGCCTCACATCCCCGTCTCGTGCCCTCTCCTTGCCTCACATCCCCGCCTCGTGCCCTCTCCTTGCCTCACATCCCCGCCTCGTGCCCTCTCCTTGCCTCACATCCCCGTCTCGTGCCCTCTCCTCGCCTCACATCCCCGTCTCGTGCCCTCTCCTTGCCTCACATCCCGTCTCGTGCCCTCCTTGCCTCACATCCCCGCCTCGTGCCCTCTCCTTGCCTCACATCCCCGCCTCGTGCCCTCTCCTTGCCTCACATCCCCGTCTCGTGCCCTCTCCTTGCCTCACATCCCCGCCTCGTGCCCTCTCCTTGCCTCACATCCCCGCCTCGTGCCCTCTCCTTGCCTCACATCCCCGCCTCGTGCCCTCTCCTTGCCTCACATCCCCGCCTCGTGCCCTCTCCTTGCCTCACATCCCCGCCTCGTGCCCTCTCCTTGCCTCACATCCCCGCCTCGTGCCCTCTCCTTGCCTCACATCCCTGCCTCGTGCCCTCTCCTTGCCTCACATCCCCGCCTCGTGCCCTCTCCTTGCCTCACATCCCCGCCTCGTGCCCTCTCCTTGCCTCACATCCCCGCCTCGTGCCCTCTCCTTGCCTCACATCCCCGTCTCGTGCCCTCTCCTTGCCTCACATCCCCGCCTCGTGCCCTCTCCTTGCCTCACATCCCCGCCTCGTGCCCTCTACTTGCCTCACATCCCTGCCTCGTGCCCTCTCCTTGCCTCACATCCCCGCCTCGTGCCCTCTCCTTGCCTCACATCCCCGCCTCGTGCCCTCTCCTTGCCTCACATCCCCGCCTCGTGCCCTCTCCTTGCCTCACATCCCCGCCTCGTGCCCTCTCCTTGCCTCACATCCCCGCCTCGTGCCCTCTCCTTGCCTCACATCCCCGCCTCGTGCCCTCTCCTTGCCTCACATCCCCGCCTCGTGCCCTCTCCTTGCCTCACATCCCCGCCTCGTGCCCTCTCCTTGCCTCACATCCCCGCCTCGTGCCCTCTCCTTGCCTCACATCCCCGCCTCGTGCCCTCTCCTTGCCTCACATCCCCGCCTCGTGCCCTCTCCTTGCCTCACATCCCCGCCTTGTGCCCTCTCCTTGCCTCACATCCCCGTCTCGTGCCCTCTCCTTGCCTCACATCCCCGTCTCGTGCCCTCTCCTTGCCTCACATCCCCGCCTCGTGCCCTCTCCTTGCCTCACATCCCCGCCTCGTGCCCTCTCCTTGCCTCACATCCCCGTCTCGTGCCCTCTCCTTGCCTCACATCCCCGTCTCGTGCCCTCTCCTTGCCTCACATCCCCGTCTCGTGCCCTCTCCTTGCCTCACATCCCCGTCTCGTGCCCTCTCCTTGCCTCACATCCCCGCCTCGTGCCCTCTCCTTGCCTCACATCCCCGCCTCGTGCCCTCTCCTTGCCTCACATCCCCGCCTCGTGCCCTCTCCTTGCCTCACATCCCCGTCTCGTGCCCTCTCCTTGCCTCACATCCCCGTCTCGTGCCCTCTCCTTGCCTCACATCCCCGCCTCGTGCCCTCTCCTTGCCTCACATCCCCGCCTCGTGCCCTCTCCTTGCCTCACATCCCCGTCTCGTGCCCTCTCCTTGCCTCACATCCCCGTCTCGTGCCCTCTCCTTGCCTCACATCCCCGTCTCGTGCCCTCTCCTTGCCTCACATCCCCGTCTCGTGCCCTCTCCTTGCCTCACATCCCCGTCTCGTGCCCTCTCCTTGCCTCACATCCCCGTCTCGTGCCCTCTCCTTGCCTCACATCCCCGTCTCGTGCCCTCTCCTTGCCCCACGCCTCATGCCCTCTCCTTGCCTCACATCCCCGCCTCGTGCCCTCTCCTTGCCTCACATCCCCGTCTCGTGCCCTCTCCTTGCCTCACATCCCCGTCTCGTGCCCTCTCCTTGCCTCACATCCCCGCCTCGTGCCCTCTCCTTGCCTCACATCCCCGTCTCGTGCCCTCTCCTTGCCTCACATCCCCGTCTCGTGCCCTCTCCTTGCCTCACATCCCCGCCTCGTGCCCTCTCCTTGCCTCACATCCCCGTCTCGTGCCCTCTCCTTGCCTCACATCCCCGTCTCGTGCCCTCTCCTTGCCTCACATCCCCGTCTCGTGCCCTCTCCTTGCCTCACATCCCCGTCTCGTGCCCTCTCCTTGCCTCACATCCCCGTCTCGTGCCCTCTCCTTGCCTCACATCCCCGTCTCGTGCCCTCTCCTTGCCTCACATCCCCTTTCCAATCTCCTCCCCTGCAGCCAAATCATGCTTCTGGCAGCCTGCTGGGCGCACTACTTTCTTGAACCCTCTTGACCCCTCTTGGCCACTCCTGAACTCGCTTGAGCCGAAACGCTCTTGCCTCCGTGCCGTCATGGCCTCATCTCATCCCATCTACAGCCTTTAGACCATGCCACCCATATCACCGCATATAGCCCCATACACCCAATATCAACTCATATCACCCCATATCACCCCATGTCACTCCATGTCACTCCATATCACCCCAGATAACCCCATATCACATCATGTCACCCCACATCACCCCTTATCACCCCATGTCACCCCATATCACATTACGTCACCCCATATCACCCCATCCCACCCATGCACCTCAGTGTCCTCCGCGCCTGCGGCCACGGGGTGCCCCCCATAGCTGCTGTCCAGGCTGTTGGGCGCGCTGCTGCTGCCGTCCTGCCCACTCGCACAGGGGAGAGGGAGTAAGGGGAGAGGAGCGGATAATGAGCGGGGGAGACGGGAGAGCGTGAGAAAGGAGGGAGGGTGTGAGAGGAGAAGGGAGAGTGGGAGAGGAGAAGGGAGTGAGAGGGAGAGGAGAAGGGAGTGGGTGGCAGGGGAGAAGGTCGTGAGTGGGAGTGGGTAGTGGAGGCCAGAGATCGTGATTCAACCAGTGCGCCCTATCGTTGTCGTTGTACCCAATACTTCTATCAATGAACGACCACTCAAGGGAGAGGGGAGGCGCGGCGCACCTCAGAGAGGTAGTTGAGCAGGTGGGCGCACCTCAGAGAGGTAGTTGAGCAGGTGGGCGCACCTCAGAGAGGTAGTTGAGGAGGGTGTCTGACTGGAAGAGCGCACCTCAGAGAGGTAGTTGAGGAGGGTGTCGGACTGGAAGAGCGTGGCGAAGGCGGACGGGTGGAAGATGGCGCTGCCCACGAACTCATCACCCACCGCCCGCTCCCGCCCCGCCGTGGGGCTCAGGTCCGGCGTTGCCGAGCTTGCAGGGCGGTACGGGCCGAGGCTGTCGTAGGCAGGGAGGTAGGCGTGCACCTCTGAGGTGGGCACGGGTGTGGGCTCCCTGCTGTCCGCCAGGCCCAGGCGCAGCATCTGCACGCGGGGGATGGGCAGGAGCGGGTCTCGCTGGCTTTTGAGAATCCTAGACAACCTCTGACTTGGCCACGGCCTTGCCATGGCCACGGCCTCGATGCCATCCGCTAGGCCCAGGCGAGAGTTGGTGGATGTGACGGAGGGGCGAGGCACGGACGGGGCCAGTTGGCTCTGGGAAATCCTTAAGAACACACGACAGTGCCATGCGATGCCCTCCCTGGCGTGTGCCAGGCCCAAGCGCAGCAGCTGCAAGGGGCGTGAAGACAAGGTTGGGGTGGGTGCAGCGAGTGAGGGAGTGAGGGAGAAAGGGCGTTGCACGAGAGGCTCGAATCTCCTGTGTGCGCAGATAAGCACATAGGTGACAGGCCGCAATGGAGTGATGAATGCGGGAAGCTAGTGGGTGAATGGAGAGGGCGCAGTGAAGGTTGGGATGTGACATCCAGTGAGGTGAAGGTTGCGATGTGACATCCAGTGAGGTGAAGGTTGGGATGTGACATCCAGTGAGGTGAAGGTTGGGATGTGACATCCAGTGAGGTGAAGGTTGGGATGTGACATCCAGTGAGGTGAAGGTTGCGATGTGACATCCAGTGAGGTGAAGGTTGGGATGTGACATCCAGTGAGGTGAAGGTTGGGATGTGACATCCAGTGAGGTGAAGGTTGCGATGTGACATCCAGTGATGTGAAGGTTGCGATGTGACATCCAGTGAGGTGAAGGTTGCGATGTGACATCCAGTGAGGTGAAGGTTGCGATGTGACATCCAGTGAGGTGAAGGTTGGGATGTGACATCCAGTGAGGTGAAATGATCTCTATAGGCAACGTGGGACAGCATTTCACAAAAAACCATATTTAAACGGATAAATGCTGTGGGTATCTGACGAGGAAGTAATGGGAAAGGCACCTGAAGCAAGAGGAGAGGAATAACTACCTGAAGACGATGGACTAAGCACCTGAACCACAGAGAATTGGTAAAGCGAAACCACAAACCCAAACCAAGGAATCTCATAACCTACAAGAGAACTGACCTGAAGGGAATGTGGGAATGAGGTGAAGGCAAGACGACAATGACCTGAAGCCAGAGCAGGGCGGAGAGGAGGCGCAGCGTGAAGGTGAGGGAGTGGCACGTGAGCTCCAGCAGCACTGCCAGCGCCACCAGCGGGTGCTGCCTCCACGGCGCCGTCAGCTCCTCGCTCCTGGTGCCGTGCCGTGCCACGCCGTGCCGTGCCGTGGGGTGGGGTGGGGTGGGGTGGGTGAGGCACGGTGGGGTGGGTGTAAGAACTGAGCATTAGGGTGGGGTGGGTGGTAGAATTGATGCATTAGGTAATGAGCTCAAGGTTCTTGAGTACATTGGACATGAGCAAGGATGGATGGGGTGGGAATTGGGGCCAATCCCAATGAAATCCCAATGAGATCGGCTGAAATCCCAATGAGATCGGCTGAAATCTCCAATTGGTGGGTTGAAGGTTTCAGTTCATCACATTCGGGTGAGGTTGGGATGTGGGTGTACATCCAACTACAAACTACACTAAACTAGGACATTAAAAGTTCAACTACAAAAGTTAAGATTGAGGGCTAACTCTAGCAGTGGGCTGGGGTGGGGTGCGGTGGAGTTGGTTAGGGTGGGATTTGGCAAAGGAAAAGTGAGAGAGGGCATGTCCAGCATGATGAGGCGAGTGAGAGAGGGCATGTCCAGCATGAGGCGAGAGAGAGAGGGCATGTCCAGCATGATGAGGCGAGTGATAGAGGGCATGTCCAGCATGATGAGGCGAGTGAGAGAGGGCATGTCCAGCATGATGAGGCGAGTGAGAGAGGGCATGTCCAGCATGATGAGGCGAGTGAGAGAGGGCATGTCCAGCATGATGAGGCGAGTGAGAGAGGGCATGTCCAGCATGATGAGGCGAGAGAGAGAGGGCATGTCCAGCATGATGAGGCGAGTGAGAGAGGGCATGTCCAGCATGATGAGGCGAGTGAGAGAGGGCATGTCCAGCATGATGAGGCGGGCATGCAGGGTGTGGCGGAGGGGGAGAGAGGGTGGTGGCAGGTGAAGCAAGGAGTAAGGTGCAGAGTGAGTTGAAGATGCATGTGAGGCGGTGCAGGTGTTGTGAACGCTGCGGGTCGTGCCCGTGGCAGCGGGTACAGAAACGAGGGCTGGCAAAGAGATGGAACTGGGAGAGAGGACGAGGAGATGTGCGGGTAGGGAGGAGCAGCTGGGCGTAGGGAGGTGGGGCGAGTGAGCAGGAGAGGGCACCAGATGTGGGGGGCGAAGAGGGCACCAGATGTGGGGGGCGAAGAGGGCGAGCCAGAGGGAGTCGAGGAGCAGCATGAGCATGAGCAGTGCGGCGTATGTGCGCCCCAGCGCCTGGTACCCGCTGGCCACGGCCACCAGGCCGAAGAGCGCCACGCCCACGTCCGCCACGATGACGCCCGTGTACGTGGGCCCCACCGTGCCCAGTAGCCCTATGAACGCCTGCCGGGGACGCGCAGTGGCGAGGCGGGCGGAGAGTGAAGGGGTTGGCACGATCAATGGCGTGTAGGTGGGGCCACCGTGGGCCAGCAGGCGTATGATGGCGTGCACGCAGGCGAGGAGGGCAGGGGGCGTCCGGCGCGTACAAGTTCAGTCCCATGACGCGGGTGGACGCGGGGCGGGGAGCGGCGCATGGGTGCCATGTGAGGCCACCCGCCTCTTGCGGAGTAATGAAGGATTCGAAACGCAGCAAGCCGTGTGGTGCCATGTGAGGCCACCCGCCAGTGCCATGTGAGGCCACCCGCCAGTGCATGCGCTCCCACCCACCAGTGCATGCGCTCCCACCCACCAGTGCATGCGCTCCCACCCACCAGTGCATGCGCTCCCACCCACCAGTGCATGCGCTCCCACCCACCAGTGCATGCGCTCCCATGCACACGTGCCGGCACATGCATGCATGGGATGCATGGGGTGCATGGTGCATGGGTTGGGGAGGACGCAGGGCGCGACTGGGGGGTGGAGGAACGAAGGAATGACAGAGGAGTGCGGCGTGGTGGAGCGCGGCGAGCAGGTGGAGAGGAGACGGCGAGGGGGAATGTAGAAGCGGCGAGGAGGAGGGATGGGGCGATGGAAATAGAGAAGGGGGAAGCAGGAGGGGAGGGGGAAAGCGGCGATGGGAGGGGGGAAACGGCGAGAAGAAGCGGGGAAGCGGCGAGGGCGGGGGGGGCGCAAGCGCAAGAGCAGCAGGCAGCGGGGGCTCGAGCGGCTTGCCATCGTGCCTCCTCGCTCGTGGTGGCAGTAACGTGGAATGGGACCCTCCCTGTAACGGGAGCGGGTTATCAGGTTACCTGCAGGTAGAGCAGCGTGAGCGCGGCGTTCTGCACGTCCTCGTAGCTGTCGAGCCACGACAGGAAGAAGCCCTCCACAAACAGACGCGGCATGCCGCCCCTCCCTCCCCTCCTTCCCACTCCCCCTTTCCGCTGCGCGCCAAGAGTCCGCCTATGATTTAATCTCGTGCGCTACCTCGCGCCACACGGGGCATGCCGCCCGCCCCGCGCCCCCCGTCGCTGTTCGCCTCCGCAAGACGCTCTTCGCCTGAATCCGCTGCGACTCCACTCGCGTGCTCTCGCCGCTACGCGGCCTCTCGTCGATATCAGCGTCGCTAATGCTCGCAGCGCGTCGATGCCGCTCTACGGCTGCACGCCTCTAACTGATCTTCATCGCGCTATGGGCTTCTCGGGAACGCCTACCATGCTCTCGCTGGTCGGCCGCGCATCGTAGCGAGTGCGGGTGAATGAAATCCGACTTTCTCAAGAGACTTTCCCTCGAGGAAATGACAAAGCGCCCTGATTTATGGTTTCCAATTCCTTTCGGCAGTGGTTTTGACACCACCCCGCTACGCGCTCGCGTCCGATACCTTCGGGCCGATAATTTCGCTAATTCCCTTTCCAAGTCCTACCAATCTTATTTCCTTTTTCTTTAGGGGATATTCAAAATCAAGCAACGCTTTATTTACTAGCAGCGCGGAACAAAAATATATATACCCCTCTTGGATGGCATGCCATTCGGGAGGCATCAACCCTAAACACCATAAGGCAAGGTGTTTAGGGTTGATGCCTCCCTAATGGCCAGCCATCCGAATGGGTTTTATTTTTTTTACACTGGCCTCAAAACTGAAACCAGGTAGACTTCATAATTTCCCGGTCACAGAAAATTGGAAATGTCGGAAAAAACTGCCCCAAGGAATCGGACGCGACCGCGAAGCAGGGTGGTGTCAAAACCACTGCCGAAAGGAATTGGAAACCAGAAAACAGGGCGCTCCGTCATTTCCTCCCTCCGACTCAATCGAATTCGCGCTGGTTAACATTTTACAAATTGGGAACCGCTTACTTAAGGCGTGTTCAGCGTGCCAGTGGTCTAGTGGTAGAATAGCACCCTGCCATCAGCTCGGTGCAGACCCGGGTTCGATTCCCGGCTGGCACAGCTATAAATGTTTTGCTACGTCTACCTGTTCTCTCCGAACTTCGTTTCCTCGTGAAATTTCGTCTTGGCTTTTCGCTATCGTTATTTCGCTGCAAAATGCCGCATACTGGGTCTTTGTTGTTCGTGTCATTCGGAATATCCGGAAACCAGTACATGGGCATGAAGCTGCTGGGTTCCAACTTCGTGTGCACCCGAAAAACATCGCTAACCCAGAAGTCTGAACACGCCCTCAACCCTAACTTTCGTGTCTTCAGTTCGACGCGCCTTCTGGGGATACAACTCGCATCACTAGGTAGTTAATCGCAGCTCTTCCGTCATCCCTGCTGCAACCGTTTATCTGCCCAGCCGTTGCTGAGCAGCGCCGTCACAGCTGCTCTCATCATGGTCGCGGCGGCAGCGGCGACCGCAGCGATGAGCGTGACTGGTGTCGCTGCGCACTCGGCCGCGCAATCGCACACCGTCGCTCGCGTCGCCGCGTTGCGGTTGCCGGCTAGCAGCAGCACGCGCCAAATACGGAGCGACGTTTCCGCGATGGGCGCCGGTCGGTCCGCCTCCGACGCCGTGCGGCGGTGCGGCGAGCCGCGGCTGCTGCCGGCACGACGGGGGAGCATTGGCGCACGCGCTAGTGTTGAACAGCGCCACGTGGCAGGTGCATGACGCAGCTGGCAGCATGTGACCTATTGTTCCCTTCCGATATCGCCCCCCTAGAGCAATCCCCAGTGAACTGTTCACAGGGCCAAAAGGGGGTTCACAGGGCCAAAAGGGGGTTCACAGGGCCAAAAGGGGGTTCACAGGGCCAAAAGGGGGTTCACAGGGCCAAAAGGGGGTTCACAGGGCCAAAAGGGGGTTCACAGGGCCAAAAGGGGGTTCACAGGGCCAAAAGGGGGTTCACAGGGCCAAAAGGGGGTTCACAGGGCCAAAAGGGGGTTCACAGGGCCAAAAGGGGGTTCACAGGGCCAAAAGGGGGTTCACAGGGCCAAAAGGGGGTTCACAGGGCCAAAAGGGGGTTCACAGGGCCAAAAGGGGGTTCACAGGGCCAAAAGGGGGTTCACAGGGCCAAAAGGGGGTTCACAGGGCCAAAAGGGGGTTCTTCATTGGCGCAGCGCAGCGGATGCCTCTAGCCGTTCGTGTGAGCCCGCACGCATCACACTTCCGATCCTGCCCGCCCCATTGCCTCTCCGTTCGACCTCCCGTCGCTCCTTCCCCCTTTCCCCTCCACCTCTCCGTCCTCCCGTGCGCCCCCTTCACAATGCTGCAATCGCGCGCGCCACCGCCACCCGCGTGGCGCCACCGCGCTGCCGGCGAGCAGCGCATGCACCTCCCCTTCCTGCCCCACCCTCCACACCTCGCTCCCCCCTCCGTTCCCCCATCCCCTTCCCCGCCTTCCCCTCCGTTCCCCCATCCCCTTCCCTGCCTTTCCCCCGCAGCGGCGTCAGCACAAGCGGCGGACACAGCGGCCTTCTCGCAGGGCGGCTTCGAGCAGCTGCTGCTGGACCTGCAGGCCGCCATCTGTCACCAGGTCAGCTGGCGTGCCGAGACGTGCCGTGCCGTGCCGACAGGTGTGGAGGTGAGGTAAGGCGGTGACATGTGGTGAGGTAAGGCGGTGACATGTGGTGAGGTAAGGCGGTGACATGTGGTGAGGTAAGGCGGTGACATGTGGTGAGGTGACGTCCTATGTGTCATCCCATAGCCGCTCTGTCTGCCCATCCCATCGTCCCACTCGCCCCTCCATCTCTCGCCCCTCCACGTCACGTCGGCCCTAACCCCCGTCACCTGCTCGCACCTGTGCCGCCACTCTCGCCACCTGCCCTGCCATCCCGCTCTCGTCTCTGCACTCATTGCTCCTTTCCCTCCCCCTGAAACCCCCCTTCCCCCACCGCCGCCACTATGGGCGGCAGTCAGCAGCGCGGGACGGCAGCGGCAAGGCGTTCGTGGAGGAGCGGTGGGAGCGCGACCCCGGCAACCCGTGGGCGGGGTATGGCATCACCCGCGTGCTGGAGGGCGGCCATGTGCTCGAGAAGGCTGCTGCCAACGTGTCCATCGTTAGAGGCCAGCTCACTGCGGCACGCGCCAAGGTGAGCGGAGCATGGGGGGACTTGAGAAGAAGAGTGGGCAGTAAGGGGTAGGGAGAGCAAGAGGGGCTTGGGAGGGCTTTGGGGGGGACTAGGTGGATGGTTCACGGCTGGGTGGGTGGGAGGGTAAGTGTGTTAGAATATAGCATAACGTATGTTTATATTTGTGCAAGTTTTACACCCTAACGTGGGTGTACACTTTGGGTCAGGCAACCCAACCAATTTTGGTTGGGCGCTCCCAAACCCATCTCGACCGCAATTGACGGGGGGGAGCCAATAATGGTTCCCCTCCACCGATTGTTTGTAACAACAGCAATTATTGGGCGTCCCAATCTGATTGGTCCGCCAACAATGCTGACGGTACCCCACCTAGTTCCCAACTTCTCATCTTCTATATGTACCCACACTCTTTGTAATGAGGATAACACTTGAGATTTTTTCAACATGCAGTGCAGTATGCAAGAGTGTGGCTTGCGCGGGTGGTCTGTGAACGACTGCCGCGTCCCTCGCATGACCGTGGCACCACCTCGCCTCAAAAGCTGTGCTCGTCTTGATGAGAAGGCTCACTGGCTGGCACCCACGGAGTGCCGCCATGCCTGGCGGTGGGTGGATGGTCCTGGCGGCCTGCATTGAACAGCCTCCGTGCCACGCTGTGAGCAAGGAGGTTTGGAAACGAGGTGAGCTTTGCTGGGCGTAAGGGCAACCCCATCCTCCTCGCTGTAAGGGCAACCCCATCCTCCTCGCTGTATGGGCAACCCCATCCTCCTCGCTGTACCAAGGCTGGTCAGGGGAAACTGCGAGTTGATTCAAGAGGCCTCACAGGAAGGCTGCTTGTGAGGAAGCTATTCTCTAAAGCGCTCTTCCACTGACGCTGCGCCCACAAAATCTCCCGCAGGGAGTGAGGAGACCTGTGGGCGCAGTGCTGCCAGCAACGGCAGAGGGCAGGCCAGGGAGGCTGCCAGGCACGGCCACTATTTCCCACCCGGACAACTCCTCCTGTCCGTCCATTCCTCCATGCATGCATCGTTTTGTGCCCCTCTCTCCCCTTCTCGCTTCCAACGGTCGTTCCCCGGCACCTCCACCACATACCCCCCTCTCCCCCCACCTCTCCCCTTCCCCCCCTTTCCCCTCCGCCAGGCCATGAGTGCGAGGCAGGGGAGGCAGCTGGCAGAGGGGACGGGGTACTTCGCCGGTGCGCTGTCGCTGGTGTTCCACTCCGCGCACCCGCTCATCCCCACCTTCCGCTCCGACATCCGCTACTTCCAGGTGAGCTGCCATCCGCTACTTCCAGGTGAGCTGCCATCCGCTACTTCCAGGTGAGCTGCCATCCGCTACTTCCAGGTGAGCTGCCATCCGCTACTTCCAGGTGAGCTGCCATCCGCTACTTCCAGGTGAGCTGACATCCGCTACTTCCAGGTGAGCTGCCATCCGCTACTTCCAGGTGAGCTGCCATCCGCTACTTCCAGGTGCCAGCAGAATGAAGCTGCGCCCTCCCCCTTCCAGCTGCGCCCTCCCCCTTCCAGCTGCGCCCTCCCCCTTCCAGCTGCGCCCTCCCCCTTCCAGCTGCGCCCTCCCCCTTCCAGCTGCGCCCTCCCCCTTCCAGCTGCGCCCTCCCCCTTCCAGCTGCGCCCTCCCCCTTCCAGCTGCGCCCTCCCTCTTCCACCTGCGCCCTCCCCCTTCCAGCTGCGCCCTTCCCCTTCCAGCTGCGCCCTCCCCCTTCCAGCTGCGCCCTCCCCCTTCCACCCTTCCAGCTGCGCCCCCTCATCTCCTCTCCTCCGGCGGCTGCCCAACACATCAAAACTGTGTTGGGGTGTAGTACTAGCAACTTAGGTTAGATAATGTTGGGGGTGGAGTGGGTTTTATGTGGAGGCAGGTGGCAGCAATGCAGCGAATTCGACCCAACCTTGTGGGCACAGTGAGCCGTGGTTGGTGTCACCCGGCCCGGCTATGCCACGCTTGCCTGCATGCCACAGCCACTGCCTTGCGCTCATGTCTTCCTGGAACTCCCCCTTACCTCCCCTTGCCCTCTCCCTAATCTCTCTTCCTCTCCCTCATCTCTCCCTCTCGCTCATCTCTCTCTGCCCCTCCCACCACCTGTCGCCCCCATCAGGTGGACGGGCAGAACGGCTGGTTTGGTGGAGGGGCCGACCTCACGCCTTCATGTGAGTCCACGTCACCCCCTCATGTGAGTCCACGTCACCCCCTCATGTGAGTCCACGTCACCCCCTCATGTGAGTCCACGTCACCCCCTCATGTGAGTCCACGTCACCCCCTCATGTGAGTCCACGTCACCCCCTCATGTGAGTCCACGTCACCCCCTCATGTGAGTCCACGTCACCTCCTGATGTGAGTCCACCTTTCCATCCTCCAGCAGCCCACCGTCCATTTCAGATCTCACTACCACAGACGCACACCCTCCCTCTCACCCTCCTTCCCTACCACCCCCCGCAGTCGGCCCTCCTCGTCCCCCGCCGTCCCTCCTTGTCCCTTCTCCTCTCCCCCCACCTCAACCCTGTCCTCACAGACCTCTTCCCAGCGGACTTGAGTGAGTTCCACGCCTTCCACCGCTCCGTTGGCCACTGCTGCCACCCAGGTCTCACTCCCCCATAGCTCCCTCCTCATTCATCCTCACCCCGCCTCACCCCTCCGCACCCCCCTCGCCAGACCTCTTCCCGGAGGACATCAGGGAGTTCCACGCGTTCTACCGCGCCATCTGCGACCGCTACCACCCGGCGCTGTACGCGGCGGCCAAGGCGCAGTGCGACAGGTACTTTTACCTGCCGGCGCGCGCGGAGCACCGCGGGGTGGGCGGCATCTTCTTCGACGACCTCGACCGCATCCCCCCACCCCACGCCCCCCTCGCCCTCAGCCCCTCTGCTGCTTCCGCACCCGCTACTGCTGCTGGCGCGGGCGAGGAGGGCTTTGAACGGGCGCATCGCTTCACGGTGGACGTGGCGCGGGGCTTCATGGACAGCTTCTGGCCCATCGTGGACAGGCGGCGTGGCTTGGCGTTTACTGAGGCGCAGCGGCAGTGGCAGCTGGAGCGGCGGGGGCGGTACCTGGAGTTCAACCTGCTGTACGACCGCGGGGTGAAGTTCGGCATGGATGGCCACGGGCGCGTGGAGTCCATCATGGTGTCCGGTGAGCGCCGGGCAGGGGGGGCGTGCGTGTCCGGTGAGCGCCGGGCTGGGGGGACGTGCGTGTCCGGTGAGCGCCGGGCAGGGGGGACGTGCGTGTCCGGTGAGCGCCGGGCAGGGGGGACGTGCGTGACGGGCGAGGGGAGGAGGTGGGAGGGTGGAGGGCATCCTAGTGTGAGGTCAGCGGCGGGGGTGGAGGGCATCCTGGTGTGAGGTGAGCGGCGGGGGTGGAGGACATCCTGGTGTGAGGTCAGCGGCGGGGGTGGAGGGCATCCTGGTGTGAGGTCAGCGGCGTGGGTGGATGGTGAAGTGAGAGGCGTGCGAGGGGAGGGCGTTGGAGGTAGTTGGTGATGGTTGGGGTTGGGATGGGAAATGGGTTGTGCTGACTGATGAGCTTCACACAGGGGAATGGCGAGTCAACCTGCAGGTGCGCAGAGCAGAGCATTGGGGTTGCGTTGAGTGCACAGCACAGGTGAGCAGGTGCTGCTGCCATGCTCTCATTCGTTCACGCGTGCGCACTCCTCTGATGGAGACCGATGATAGTCGTTTTCTTCTTCCACCACCTCGTGTGGGTTGACTGAGTCTAGCCTCCACGAATCTCGTTTTTCTTACCTATCCCCCATCCTCCATCCCCTCACCTTCCGTCATTGTCCGTCCTTTCCCCCCACTCCTCCCATGGCACCGTGCACGAGTGCAGCTCCACCGCTGATCGCGTGGCGCTACAACGTGCAGCCGCAGCCAGGCTCGCCAGAGGAGGAGCTGGTCAAGGTGCTCAAATCGCCCGTTGACTGGGCGTGACGCGTCTTGCTTTGGTTGACTGGTGTCTTGTGCCATACTGTCTGCTTGGCGTTCCTACCAGGCCTCTGGATAGGATTTGGGGCACTCTTACTCGCAAGGCCAGTTCGCTGAAGTTGGTCTTTCAGTAAGGGTGGGTCAGCCATGTCAGTCTTTTTTATCAGTGTCAGCTGGAAAGGTACTCTTGCTCATCAGTGTGCACATTGTTTTCACCCTTTCATGTTTAGACTAAAGCGTGGATTACATATTAAAGATGGCACTAACTAACAGAGCAACTAAAGCACCAGTGCCTGGTTCTAATAGAATAAGCTTAGCAGTGAGCACAAGTTAATACGGTATAGGAACTCTTGAGCAGGGCGGCGCTTCTTGCCAGCATTGAACATTGCTACCGTATGCATGAGCCCCGCGAGTGAAACTCGACTTAGGTTGCTGCCGCCTCTTCTGCCGTGCCGAACACGAACCAGATTTCAGCTTCTTGGCAGCACAGTTGTGAGCAGCAGCGGTATTCTCCATTACATGTGTTGTGCTTTTCGTGGTGTCAGTTCAGGCGTCGTGGTGCACGTCACACCCCGCTTCAGCCAGCGCGGTCTCAGCCTCAGTAGAGGCAACGACGGGCTCTGGTTCAAGCAGTAGCTTAGAAGGCACTGTTAAAAAGCGAAGGCCCTTTCATGAGGGTGAGTGCAGGACCTGACGACGAGCCTCATCGTCATCCTCACCGCTGGTGACAACAGCCATGACGAGGGACTTGGAGGTAGATGCTGGAGCTATGCTTATAATAGCAGCAGGAAGGCGTGGTCTGCAAACCCTAGACGAGACCACGAGGAGGAAAACTGGATGAATAAAATGAACTGACTGAGTTGGGGTTGGGTGAGAGCGGCTGGTCGGTGGGTGGGGGTCTGGTGGGGAGGGAGGAAGGGACCAAGCAGGATTCTCCTGGATGATGCACACCTGTGTGGCGCTGTGTGTCACCGCCAGGCATGCAAAATGCATGTGGTACGGGTACAGGTTGCGGGACTGTGGCTGTGGCGACGCGAGCGGTCTTGGCAGGGCTCTCGTTATCAGGGTAAAATACCCTTTTGCACTGACTGGCGGCCACTTTTTTTGAGTTACCCTTTCCCAGATGGGGTATTAGGATTTTTACCCTAGGCCAGAAAGTGTAGTTTTTTTTCCCCCCTTTGTAAAACAGTGTGATGGATTTTTTACCCCGAGTGTTCAGGGTACGGTTTCAGTTACGCTGATACTGAGTTTCTCGGAACCGAGGATATCCAACTATGAACACGTTGCGTAAAGGACAGCAGGACCAACACCCACATAAGATGATATCAACCACAGGTGCAGTCCCGAGGACTTTTCCCGCGACATGCCGCGTAACCACCACATTGGTGGAAGTGGCAGCCATGCTGACAGCGCATCATGTGTTTCGTGCTGTCCAGGGCACATCATGGCAAGCAAGAGGAAGCACCGTGAGCCACGCATGAGCCGCGCTCCGGGGTCTTCCAAGCCATCACAGGTGGTGGTGGGGCTTTGTGTGCTCCCAAGGACACCCCATCTTGTTCCTCCTACTCATTCTTACCGTGAGGGAACACCATCGAGGTTCCAGCCCATGCCTCAGTCATGCCTGCCGAGCATTCTCAAGAACCGCCTGCTGTAGTGCGCAATGGCCTATCTGTGCTGGGTGTTCTTCCCCGCCTGCCTGAGTCCTACAGCGTGCCGATTTCACCACTGCCACGTCCCGCTTCTCCAGTGCGCAGTGTAGGCACCGTCTTCCCGTTCGAGCCGCCATCCACGTCGGCTGACTGGGAGCCGCACCCATCAGTTGTTCTTGTGCCTGGCGGTGGGGAAGGGTCATCCAGGCCACCGGCGGATTCACCGTCTACTGTGAATAGCACGCCGGTCAAACGCCCGTGGGTCGCTGTGAAGTACAAGGAGCAGCGCCTCTGGGGAGCTCCTCCTCCTGGGAGGGTTGCCTCTCCGCAACGTGATGCTGATCCTGAAGATGAAGCGCCGCCAAAAACAGCCGGTGATGTTATGTATGACACGATAAAGCATCGCTATGAGTCTGAGTGGCGGAATAAATTTAAGTGGTTACGTCTCATTCGGTTGCCTAACGGTCTTGCCAAGTTGAAGTGCGACATCTGCGTGCAGCATGGAGACCCCACCGCTCACACTAGCTATGGTGCGAAGGGCGAGGGTGGGCGCGACCTCCAGATTGGTAGCGTCCGGGCCCATTCCGCGACGAGAGCCCACAAGAACGCGTTGAAAGCCCAAGCAGAAGCGGAAGCGGACAAGGCGAAACAAGTGAGCATCACCCGCTGGCAGACAACCAACGCGTCGACGAGGCACATCATTCGCGTTCTGCACATCGCTGTCTTCGTCTGCAAGGCGGATGCGCCAATCGCGATGTTCATCCCGCTCTGCTGGTTCTTGGCGAAGGAAGGTCTTCCCGACCTCCCCAACAGTGGTGATTACGGCGCCTACTACACAGAGTAGTGTGGCTCGCGTTGTGCGCCAATCGCGTTCTCACGGCTGTGTTTTGTTCATGTGGTCTGCAGATACGGCTTCAGAGAAAACCTCAGGGCAATCTCAGCTTACCTCCAGGAAGTGCAGCGGTTGCATCTACTGGAGTCGCCCTGGATTGGTCTTTCCCTCGACGAAAGCAGTGATCGCGTCAACGGGAAACACCTCATCCTCTACGCCATTTTTTTCCGAGGGATCGCAGTGGTGACCGAGTTTTTGACGCTGATAACTGTTGTCCGTGCTGACGCCGCGTCTTTGACTTCTGCTGTGGTGCAGTACCTGACACGGATTGGGCTGGATCTTCAGAAGATGTCGTCCGTATCTACGGACGGTGCGAATGTCATGATGGGGAAGCACACTGGTGTTGTCGCCCGTCTGCGCATGCGGATTCCTCATCTTGCCTCAACGCACTGTGTCGCACATCGGTAGGTTCTTACCTGACGTAAAGCTAGTAATGTTCGTTTCTGTTATCCACCATCGTTCTCACGCTGCTTCATTGTTTACACTTGCAGGGAGGCTCTGGCTGCAAAAAATGCCGCGGAAGCAGTTCCCGAACTCTTTATGGTCGACAGTGTCGTCTGTGGCTTCGCTGACCTCATCGGCCGTTCCAACGTGAAGTACGACAAGTTTCACAACATCCAGCAGGTGTTCTGCAAGACCAACCTCGAGGCTCGAGGCATTAATGAAGCTCGATGGCTGTCACGCGGAGAAGCAGTTAGACGCCTCCTCGAAATCCTACCTACGGTCATTGTGGTGCTGAAGGAGTACAACGCCGATCTGTACGAGGTTGCCACTTCATTCAAATTCCACTGGATGCTTCGCCTGCTTGCTGATGTGCTTTGGGAGCTGAATTTCCTGAATCAGCGGTTCCAGCAAAGGCAGGTACGGTTGGCACATACCCGTTCTGTTGTGTTCCTTATCCAACGTGTTTCGATTATACATGTTGCTTACCGTGTCACTTGTTTTCACTCTGCAGATCGACATCACTCTGGTGGCGCACCTGGTGCAGCAGACACGATGGCGCATGAAGAACCGTTATTTGAACGGTTCCCCATCTCAGCACTTCGACAGCGGGGAAAAGATGACCCTCAATGACTTCATTCAGCGCCACCAGAAGATGGACAAGCGGGAGGTGAAGGCTGAGGGCGTAGACAGTGATGGCAACCCCGTGACCTTCGAGTACGAGCTGCACGAGAGGAAAATCAAAGGGCACGAGACGGCCGGTGACGTTGAGGCGTGCTACGAGCTATCGTTGAAGTTCGTGCGTGAAATTGATAAGGAGCTGGAGTGGCGCATGAGGGACTTGGCGCATCTGGAGGGGTCGAAGCTGTTTCGCTCAGCATTGTACGTCTCAGACGATACAAAGCGTGTGGAGACCTTCAAAAAGTGGCTGGCTCAACTGCACAAACTGTTCAACAACAAACTGCCAGGTATGTATGTGTTCGGTTTGTGTGCGAGCGTGGTTGTTGGGTACCTGAACGCATGCGCGTTGATGTATAGTATCTTCGTGCACTCATGCATGCGCCTTGTTGATTGTTTGGTTTAAGATTTCCCCTTCCTCCCGCCTGCTGCAAGTATACCCTGCGTAATTCCCACTCCCGATCATCAGGATTTGACTACACCAGGGCACAGAGCGAGCTGTGGATGTTCACGTCTACCATGTTTTCACAGCACAACAACGAGGACTTCCACCAGGCGCTGGGGAACATGCTTCAGGACGACGCATGGCACCACTCCTTCCCCAACCTGATGCGGATGTGGCAGGCTGTTGCCGTGCTACCACTCAGCACGGTGGAGTGCGAGAGGGGATTTAGCAAGCAGAATCTGATCAAGTCGTGGGAGCGTGGCGCCCTCTCTGACACCACCCTCGAGCATCTGATGAGATGCTCTCTGCTCCAGTACGACGTGGACTGGTACGAGGTGGTATCGATTTTAAGGGGAGAGAAGCTACGGCGGTCAACAAAGGACTTCAGTGGCACCAACCCAGGAGAGGCTCTTTTTGCTGATGACAACAATGAGGGATCTCCTTACCCTGTTTCTTGAGGACTAGGGAAACCCAATGGTAGTTCTGTTAGCCTGGTATTTCACCATGTCTAGCTTTAGTGCCATGCTAATTGATTGTACTAGTTAGGAAGACTGAAATCATAGTATTGTCAAAATCCCAGCCACTAGACCACTGGGATAAAAGGGCTTGTTAAGTAGCGCGTCAGTGCGCCCATAACCCCCTAGGCCAACGTGCCTGTAACCCTTCCCTAGGATCAATCGGGGATCACCAGTGGACCTCTGACAAGTATCTGCAACTTTATGCTGCTAAATTCAGTGTAGAGACATTTTCATACTGACTGATTCAGTGTATTGGAATTTTTACGCTGCAGAATACAGCGAATTTTTTTTTTTACCCTAGCCATCAGGGTTCACTTAACCTCGTACCTTGATCACCTAGGGTCGGCCAAAACCAATCTGAAGGCCTGGGTCTTCGCGACGCGCAATTCTGGTGACTCGGGCAAATCGCCGCTAATCGCGGTAGAAATCACGTCAGTGAATAAACCCCCCCTCCCCCCCCCCCCCCCCCTCCCCCCTAAAAAATCGCATCAGGGTGGTACCCAACACTACTCGTTGTCATCAGGGCGAGTACACCAGGTTGGTCTGAAATATCTGTGTTACACAAAAATGTGAAGAATGAATGGACTGGCAAACAGGTGAGTACAAGTAGGAAAACCTAAAAGTGTTGTACCCCATATTGTCTACCCCACTACAGCCTACACAGACTATAGCATATGAGTTTGACACACCCCTATAGGCAAAGTGGGGGAGAACAAGAGGTCACAAGACCAGTCAAGCAAAGGAAAGCAAGCTCAGGGAGGATCACAACGTCACCACACATTCCGAGCACAAGTTCAAGGCCACAAGGCCAGTTCACATGCAAGATCATATATAAAGGTACACAAGCAAGTGCAGGTATAGAAAGATCACAGTACAAGCAAGGTCAAGAAGTGAGCAAGTGAGGCCAAGTAGGCACAAGACCTAGCATCGTACAGCAGCGCTGATGATCACAAGGCGGAAGTGCCTTGGTAAAGATATCAGCAGTGTTGGCCTCGGAGGCCACGTAAGCAAGGCACAGCTGACCACGCTGCTGCAGCTCACGAGCAAGGAAGTAGCGAAGAGCAATGTGCTTCGTTCTGTGCTCCAGTCGCTGCTCCCAACAGAAGGCCAGCATGGCCTTGTTGTCTACGTACAAAACTGGAGGAGAACGAGGCGGCTCTCCTAGGTCAGTCAGCAGGTAGGTGAGCCAGCGTAGCTCCTGTGCAGCCATGGCCCCCGCGTAGATCTCAGCCTCACAGCTGGAGCCGAGAACAGAAGACGAGCCGGTAGACCGCCACGAAACAGAGCCGGAACCAAGGCTGAAGGTGTAACCCTGTGACGACCGCTGCGTAGCCTGGTCGTCAGCCCAAGAAGCGTCTGCGTGACCTGTGAGGACTACTGAACGTCGCCCTCCAAGCACTAGCCCCATGCCCGACGTACTGCACAAGTAGCGCAACACCCTCTTCGCTGCAGCCATGTGCTCTGGTTGGTGTCTCCCAAGAGCAACATAGCGTGCCAAGATGCTAAGAGGGTATGCAAGGTCAGGTCGTGTGCAGGTCATCAGGTACATGAGGCAGCCAACAAGCTCTGGGTTCGGGCCACTCGGCTCTATGGACTCATCCGAAGGCAGAGCTGAGAGCGAGTGGCGAGTAGACAGAGGAGTGGCCTGAGGCGAGGAGTACGTGAAGTCGAAGCGCCGAAGGACCTGCTGCACCATGTGTGACTGAGTCAGGGTAATGGTGCGCTGTGCTCTGTCCCGGGTGATCTGCAAGCCAAGGTAGCTGCGCAGTTCACCCAGGTCTGTGCACGTGTGTCTCTTCTGCAGCTCAGACTTCACGTGGGCGAGTCCAGCATTGTCAGCTGTAGCAAAGACCAAGTCGCCGACGTACACGAGGATGTAGAACGGCGGCAAAGAGGTGTCGGTGCGCAGAAACAGCGACGGGTTGGCAGTAGAAGGAGCAAACCCAAGAGCCGCAAGTGTAGTCCTCAGTGTGTCGTGCCACTCACGGGGCGCCTGGCGGAGACCGTAGACTGGCCGCCGGAGGCTCCACTGGGTACCAGGAGGAAACGACCCAGTGAAGCCAGGTGGGAGGCGCAGCCAGATCTCCTCGTGCAGGCTGCCCTGCAGGAAAGCTGTGCTGAAGTCAAGAGAGTGAAGCTCGTAGTCACGCTGAGCGGCTATGTGCAGCAGCACCTAAAGAGTGATCATCTTCGGGGTGGGAGAGAAGGTCTGAAAGTAGTCAACTCCCTACCGCTGACTGAAGCCTCGAGCCACGTAACGCGCCTTGAAGACAGGCGGAGAATCCGGCGGCCGCTTCACCCTGAAAATCCACATGCCACTGACGATGTTCGCCCCAGGTGGGGGAACCTCGTCGACGTAGGTGCCTGTGGACTTCCAGGAAGCCATCTCTGCGTCCATGGCTGACTGCCACTGAGAGGAGTAGGGACCCTCGATAGCCTCAGCGTACGATCGAGGAGTCGGGATGTCTGGTGCATCCGGGTCTCCCTCAGGGGCAATCAGCATGGACACGAGATGAGGCAAAGCAGCAGCAAAACACTGGAACTCCTCCTGCCTGTCCTCAAGGACGTTCGTGCTAAGAGCACACTCACCCCCGACGGATGGAGGACAGACAGACTCAGCAACAAGACTAGCGGCGTAGTCTAGACGACAGCGAGCAGCAAAGTCGACAAGCTCAGCAACCAAGGCAGACGCAGCAGTGGACTCAAAGGAAGGGTCACTGACAACAGTAGCCAGGAAACGCATGACAATAGGACTGGCAGCACGAAGAGAGTCAGACTCCGGGTCAGCAAGAACAGGAAGAGAGGACTCTGGAGGAGACGGCAACGGGACACGCAGAGGAGCAGTGGAAGGACGCAGTGCCATTTGGTGT